AACCACAAGTAGAAGCAAACTAGAAATAAAAGAAACTGAAACAATAAAAGAAGCATGTTGTTGTTGGAACTTTGAATTAAAACTAGGACATACCAGTGAAAAGAAAAGCAAGCAGAATGAGAGAACAAAAGAGCACAAATGATTAGCCTTGGCTTGCAGCCGGCTAACAGTAACAAATAGCACAAGAGAGAGAGAGAGAGCAGAGATTTTAGTAAGAGAGGTAGTTTTTTGAACCCAAGTGTTCGTGTCTGTGTTAATGAAAGACTAGAGTACTTATAGTTGAAAATAGGTAGTAGAATAAGGTAAGAATCATAGTAGCATAATAATTGAGGAACTCAGAATCAATCAATTAGGAAATTAAGGAAGTACTCCCTTTAGTTAAGGGAGTTAATTCAAACGGTAAAGAAACAACAACATATAAGGCAAGAAAAGGAAAATCAGTACAGGATAAATAAGGAAAGAATCAAAGTTCAGTAAGCATAGAGTAGTCAATTAGGACTAGGTTCATAAAAACCCAATTAAGGAATGACTTAGTAAAAATAAAGTACCATAGCAGATAAGGTAATGAAATTAGTCAATTTAAACAGATGAGTAGAATTTTAGGGTTTTAAAAATAAAACCTTTCAATCGAGCCATCAAATAAGGAAATCAGAATCAAATCAAGAGAGGGTCATGATTCTATATTTCAACATATAAATAGAGAAGAACAAACAGGCGTCACAAACATGCAAGGTCAGCCATATCGATAGAAAGAAGTAAGAGATGAACAAACCAGATGAACATGATCATACAGAAGTGACATAAATAGGCTAGGGACTCAGAAAAACACATTCGGGGCATGGTAATCAACAAGAACTCTAAACAAATCAAGTAGTCATGCTAACACACAAAACAAAACGAAAAAGATCTAAGAAATTAGGGCTTTTAATAGAGTCCAGTCAAAAAAGCATTGAGAACATGAAATTAGTCAAGATATGCGAGGAAAGAGGTTTAAACATAAAGAAAAAAATCGGTTAAACAAGTGTAGAAGAAACTCCGAGAAACCCTAATTTTAAAGAAAGTAAAACGGTTTAAAGTTGAGAATCTTTCAGAAGAAGTTCGAGAATAGTGCAAACATAGGAAGAAACAGACTTAAGGTGTTAAAAATAGCACAGATCTTAGAGGTTCAAACGAGAGTTAGGGTTTCAAAGGAAACCCAAATAGAAACAGAAGAACCTGTTGTAAACTTCAAAGATCGTAACATATATGGTGTAATTTTGCCCAAATTCACTCCGGAAAAGCCATGAACAACAGAAAAAGAAACCCTAGATCCAAATCGGCATGACCCAGGACCCTTGAATGCCTCAAAGATGATAAGCAAGGTGGTGGAGGACCCATTGGAGGCTTGGGGTTGAAAGGCGGTCGCCGGAAATAACCGGGGAAGGAGGCGGCGATTGAAGGGGATTAAGGTTAGGTTGAGAGAGAAAAGAGGAGATGAGAGAGTTTGAGGGCGGCGGAATCTCAGAAATGAGATAGGGTTAGTGGTCTTTAGGATTAAAAAAGGAAGGGGCTTGTTTGGACCGTTGATCTGGGAGATCAACAGTCGGGATTTGCCCGGGTAGATGGGTTCCGGGTTTGGGTAGGGTTTTATAGGGTCTGGGTCGGGTTATTTAATAGGAAATTGGGCTAGGTATTGGGTTCAATTTGGCTAAAATCGAAAGCCAAATCTGGCTATAACTTAAATAGCCAATTTTCTCTACTTTAATTTATAATAAATAATAGGTAATTTCTGGAAAATAATTTAATGTGACAAGATGATTTAAAATACATAATTATCATTTTAAAAATATAGGGACAAATCTTACGCATATAAAATATAATTATACCTTAAAATGAGCTAACATTGCAATTATATGCAATTTAGCTTAAAAATATTAAATATAATTATAAAAATGCATAAAAATTATATTAGCCATATTTTGGCATAAGTATAGAAATCAAATATATAAATTATCATAACAATAACTTTGGAAATAATTATTGGGGGTTTTATGAATAAAAGGGGAGGAAATAAATCAATTTAAACCCTTAAAATTATGGAAAAAATTATAAAAATATTGTGCATGCTTATATATGCATATATATGCTATTTTGAAGGTATTTATGCATATTTAAAATATATAGGAAAAAATTGGGTAACAACAACCAACATATAGAGTATTTCATAAATTATATATCTCAAGTTCATTAGTAATAGAACGTTAAACACAAAGGATTCTTCCCAGAGGAGGGGACATATCAACCAACAATAGAAATACACATCAAAGTCACAAACAAGCAAATACACCAATTATTCTTGAATTACTCTTTTTCAAACACGATAATGTACAATTTCAACACCAGAGTATGTATGAACTCGAGTCACATTGGATGTATTTATAAGGCAAAGCATTAGTTAAAATCAACCACTTATGGGCATGAATTGAGTACGAAAAGCTTTTAGGCAATTCTGTTTTCGAAGTCATATTAAAACAGTTGAGTCGAGGCTCATTTCATAATCGTTATTACCTCTACGTATTTCCTTGGTACCACTAGCCACAATTATAACTTATATTCTTGGCACATTAGCTACACTTTATCTCCCCAATTCACTTATTTTATTTTTAAACATCTTTATAGATTATCAGCAGCAAGACATACTCAATCAAGACATTAAGTACACGTAGGAGCAATTTGGAGTATTAAGCATATCGAGTTTTCCTCACCCAATTGGTATACTAGTTTTCATTTAAAATTACATCTCAAAGACATACCATTTTAATAAGCAAACCATACTTTTAACATCCATCTTTCGGTATAAGGCTCATTCGGAATAATCAAGTTTATAGGGGATGACCCGGAATATAGAAATTAGGGATTTTGAGCCGACCATACTTAAACTTACGGAAACATTATGGAATTCAATTCCGAGAGAGAAAGTTTAGCCAACATACCCTGTTGAGCTTCCTTAAGTTACTACAATGTACCAACACCTCTAGCAATAATAATATATAGGAAGATAGCGAAAATCGGTTAATAATAAGAAAGATTCCCATGACGTAACTCTCTTAGGAATTTTATCAAACACCTAACATGTGAAATAGATTACAAGATTCTATAATGGAAATCCCATCTCCCCTCAACCAATTTCAACAAGAAACTACCCAAAATATTTCATTAATCCCACATACTACAACTTTGTGCCACATGCATGACCTATTTCCAACCCCACAATATATTTGGTCTTATAACCTCTTGCATGAAAGCTTAGGGATAGGACTTACCCGGATAGATGATAATCTAGTGGCTAGCTTCCTTGATTCTTGAAGACTTGAGCAAGATTGGATGATTAGAATGCTAGGTTCCCTCCTTCTCTCTCTAAAATGCTCCTACCACTCTCTAAACTCTCCAGAAAATCGTCCCAAATGAAGCTCCAAATGCTATTTGTCAAAATGGGGTCGGGGTTAAAAGATTAGAAAAAATGGACCCTCCGACTCGGGTTTGCGATCGTAGAAGTGGCCGCACAACAGATGTGCAGCCCGCAAAATGGTCGCACAATTGATGCTTAGAACTGGGATATTTCGGGTTGGGTCTGCGGTCGCAAAATGCACCACAGACCTGTTATGCGGTCGCATAATACACCGCATAAGGGTCTTAAACTAAGCTCGACTTCTACTTCATTTTATGGCGGGAGTACGGTCCGCATATCGATTCTATGGCCACAAATCAGACCGCAAAATTGCATTCTTCTGCTAAAAAATTTCCTCAATACCTTATTGCATTCTTTAACCCAAAAAGTCCGAGCCGTACTTCTAAACACTTTAGCCAAACTCGGCACCACAAAACTTTAAATTACACAGCAAAATTTTTCGGGGCCTTACAGGGAGGGCCCAACATGTTTTATGCTATGAGAGGCGCTGAAATGCGGAGGCTTTTCCAGTTGTGGGTACAAGTATATTGACTGTCAAATATCATGATGTGTATGCTCTTATTGATCCCGGTTTCACTTTGTCATGTATCACTCCTTATGTTGCTATGGAATTTGGGACAGATCTGGAACAACTTTATGAGTTGTTCTCTGTATATATTCTTTAAATGAGACGTATCATTCGTGAAACCTCTTTATCACATTCTCTTATTTACAACTTCTTGTGGGTTTGAGCTATATAATTACTTCCTTGAATTGAGTTATGACCTTAGGCTAATATTTCTCACTTGCTTCCCTAAATTCCCAACAAGGGACTATACCTGATGAATTTCTTACAGAACCTTTTGATTCAATGGATAACATCTGCTCAGTGGTGCTTATGCATGCACCGTCGTAAAGTTACCCTATATGGTATCATATCTAATGTAAAGCAGCCTAGTGTTGAGATCCTTCTTGAGCCACTGTTTTTCTCTCTCTCCGGTGTATGTGGCTCCTACGATTTGAACAATCACTTTGCTCCTTTATGAATATTATCATGAAGCCTTTTCATTGTCTAGTAACATGAGAGCATATCTCGTCCCTATTATATGTGTGCCTGTCAATTGAAAGGGGTCACTTTTCGAATAAAGTTTCTGGAAAATTTGATATTATCAAAAACTTTTTCAATTTGTTATTTTTATTAGAATGTGGATTACATCTTAATATAAAAATATTTCTGTTTGGATGAAGGGAAAAATAGTCATTCAGCTTTATATGTTCATTTTATTCATTTGACTTTAATATATAATGTTCACGCTTATAATATAATATATTATATGATATGATATATGATATATATAGATATAGATACGAATATTAATAGATATATAGACAGCTGACTTTGGCCGTTCACCCTATTTAGCGAAAGTTGGGGTATCCATAATTTTTAGGTAATTTGTGGAATTTTTTTTTTTTTTTAAGAAAAAAGTTTCTTCTGACTTTGCTTGCTCAAACAAAATGATATGGACAACACATTAGAGAAAAAATTATTATTATTATTATTAAGTTAAGAGGAAAAAGACCACAATAAAGGGAAGACAACGTCGGACCTGGAAACGGCAGTTTAAGTTATGAGAAAGCGGGCAAACGTGGTGTCATCCAAAGTTGAACTTTTCATGGGTTAGCAATTCCACGGCCCATCCCTGAACTTGTCTTATTAGCAAATTCGAAGAGGAAGATTGATTGATAGAATACGAAGAATCGATTTCAAGAACTTTTGATAAGTACACACATACACACATGGTGGCGGACAAACAACTGATCGTCGCCGTTGAAGGCACTGCTGCTTTGGGCCCTTTCTGGCATACCATCGTTTCCGATTACCTTGATAAAATTATCCGGTACACTCTCTCTCCAATTCATCTTTGGGTCAAATAAAATGTGTAGTTTAGGGCTACCAATACTAATTAGACTTATTCCTTATGAAGTTAATTCCTTATTAGTATTACGACTATTACTCCCGTGCTACATATTGCCGTTTTGTTTTGGTATTCATGTTTTGCTATCAAAGTTGAGTTGTTGATTCAGCGATTTGGCGTATATATAATCCACAAGCTGGTCGGTTATGTGATATGATGCCCATTTTACTAGAATCAGATTTACTGAGAAACACTTTTACAGGCATGCGAAAGGCACCATTCCAATCAGGGGCGGATTTACCTTATTAGTCCGTCTTAGCTCACTGGTCAGCGCTTCATCTCACTAGTTTAGGACGGGAGTTCGAGCCTCAACCTTCTACCTGTATTTTAAAATTTTGGTTAACAGCATGAGGCCAGAAGGGATCAAACTCCTGACCTCTTTTATGGTGGGTTTAAACTAAACAACTGAGCCTAGAGTTGGTGCTTGTATCAACAAAAACTTATTTATAGCAATGCATCCTTTTTTTTATGACTGAGAAATCCGTTTGGAAATGACCTTTGGGCCAACCACACCTTTTGAAGCTCGAGGATGATAGGCCCGTCCCTCTGCCCTTCTCCACTTAAATTCTAGAGTTAGTTCACTTGGCGCATGGCTTGAACCTGTGATCTAAGTTTAAAGCAATGCATCTGAAATAAGGCTATTATGAATACATTTTGGGAAGTGAAAATTCGTCGACGTGAGTTGTAATAATGTACTTGAATTATGTTTTATTATTATGATCGGAATTGTGCTTTCTAAGTACAATGTCGTTGCAATGATTTGTTAATTTTTTCATATTTTTAAATGTCGACACCTCTAAGGGGAACTTAGGCATGCCACTGATTACAATGCTAGATCATCATTAAGAAAACACCATTCTAGGGAAGTACCACCTAATTATGTGATAATCGTGTGCGAACATGGCGTTTGAGGTTCTCCAAGAATCAAACTAATAAATTTGAATGACAAACTTTGAGGCCTTGATACCAAAGTTGAACTTTGAAAAAGAACGTAACAAGAATGAATGGCTTACGTAAATTTTGATGCCCGAGGGATGGGGGTTAAAGAACTCATATTTACCTCCAACGACGGGAATTCCAACCGCTGCACTACCCCACCCTCCCTTCTTTAAGATGTTTTCTTTACGTGATTCTCTCAAACCCCTAAAACTATGTAAATCCCACTTGCAATTTCATATTGACGCCTAGTGTTATTTCTCCATTAGTTATCTTGCAAGCTTCTCAGATCCCGTATCTCTCTCATCTTTCAGTTTTTAAGGCTCTCAATTGGGGATTCTACCATTCAAGTTTCAACTGCCTCCATCTTTGTTTAATTTCGGCAATTTGGTTACTCTGTTCTATCTCTTTAATTTAACTACTTATCTTATTTATGTTTATTTGTTTTTGTTTTGTATTTATAGTAGCACCATCATCTTGCTAATCTGCTTTCTTTAAAAGAGACTGTAATACTGCAACAATAGAGATTGAGGATGCTAGACAACTTAAATATAACACATCAATACATTCTAAATACGTAAATCCAGTTATGGTGAATTATTTAGACCGATGGATTTCCCCTCTTATTTTAGAAAAAATTATATGGGCCAAGCCCTTAGGTGTACGAGAAGCATGAATAAGGGAAATGTGACCATTTTTATTAAAAAAGAGATCATTTACCTTTTTGTCTAACTTTTTTGGTTGCATATTAATTAAGTATGCGGAGCTTGGGATCAACAATGCATTTTGATCTTTTGCATGGATAGAGCGATTTCTTTGATTAGATAAGTAAACTAGGTTAATGTTATTTTAGAAGAGGCATTTCAGCGATAAAGTAGTTTATAAACAGGCTTTTTGGGGTACAAATTGGAAAACGACTTTCTACTTTATTATTTTCTTTCTTGGGTTGATTGAAATTAGGAGAAGATACATTATGTCAATTGGAAAATTTATGTTGTGTATGACCAAAGGCCAGGATTTCAAGACGATGGATGCACTATTATGGATAAGCGAATCCAACATTTAAATTTGACTGCCCTCAACCTTTAGGTTCTTAACATTGAACCCATTAGACTTTTGAATCAAAAGAAAAAATTGAGATTGTTGTGATTTCTCACTCTCTTTCTCTCTCTCTCACACACACACATATATACACTCCGTATCGAAAATTTTGGGATTAATTATCGAATCCATTGACTATATGCTACATCCTCCTCTATTGGTTTTAATATAGACATTTTCTTTACAACAACAATCCCGGTGTAGTCCCACAAGTGGAGTCTGGGGAGGGTAGTGTGTACGCAGACCTTACCCCTACCTAGAAGGTAGAGATGTTGGTTACGATGGACCCTCGACTTAAGGAAAAATGAAGAAAAAATGATAGTAACAAGCAGTAATAACAAGATAATAAGAAAATGAAGCTGAAGGAACAACATACAACAGTAGAAATCTTACAATAATAGAATATAAGACTAACACTAGTATTACTGGTATGGGAAAGAAATACTCTCGGCTACCTACTAGCCTTCTATCTTAATTCTTGACCTCCACATCTTCCTATCAAGGGTCATGCCCTCGGTAAGTTGAAGCAACGCTATATCCTACCTAATCACCTCTGCTCAATGCTTCTTTGGCCTACCTCTATCTCTTATCAGACCTACCTAGGCTAACCTCTCACACCTCCTTACTGGGGCATCTGTGCTTCTCCTTTTTACATGCCCAAACCATCTAAACCTCGCTTCTCGCATCTTGTCCTCCATTAAGGCCACTCCCACCCTGGCCTGAATGTCTTCATTCCTAATCTTATCAATTTTAGTATATCCGCACATCCATCTCAACATCCTTCTCTCTGCTACCTTCATCTTATGAACATGAGAGTTCTTGACTGGCCAACACTCTGCTCCATACAGCATAGTCGGTCTAACAACCACTCTGTAGAACTTACCTTTAAGTTTAGGTGACACATTCTTATCATATAAAATACCAGATGCGAGCCTCCATTTCACCCACCCCGCTCCAATACGGCGTGTAACGTCCTCGTCAATCTCCTCATTTCTTTGGATAATAGACCCAAGATACTTGAAACTATTTCTCTTAGGGATGACTTGTGTATCAAGCCTTACGTCTACGCCCGCTTCATTGGTTCCGTCATTGAACTTGCACTCCAAGTATTCTGTCTTGATCCTACTCAATTTGAAACCTTTGGACTCCAAGGCCTGTCTCCAAACCTCCAATCTCGCGTTGACACCGCTTCTCGTCTCATCAATCTGTACAATATTATCCGCAAATAACATACACCATTACACCTCCCCTTGAATGTGGTGCATCAGTGTGTCCATCTCTAATGCAAATAAAAATGGGCTAAGAGCTGACCCTTGGTGCAACTCCTTCATAACTGGAAAGTGGTCTGAGTCCCCCATTGTCCTCACTCGGGTTTTAGCTCCATCATATATGTCATTAATCACCTTAGTGTAAGCAATAGGAACACCTCTAGCCTCCAAACATCTCCATACCTCCTTTGGGACTTTGTCGTATGCTTTCTCTAGGTCAATAAATACTATATGTAAGTCCCTCTGTCTCTCCCTATACTGCTCCACCAACCTTCTTACAAGGTGAATGGCTTCCATAGTCGAACGTCCCGACATGTATCCGAACTGGTTTTCGAAAATAGATACTCCTCCTACCCCTTGCTTTCATCACCCTCTCCCAAACATTCATTGGCGCAACAACGTAATACCCCTATAGTTGTTGTTTGAGATTGTCTACCTACCTTGAACCCTTGACCTAGTAGTTTGGAGAGAACTCCCAAACCACTATGAACAAGGATGGTTGGTTGTTGCAATTTCGGATGTCACCCTTGTTCTTGTACAATGAATCATCGTACTCCACCGCCATTCTACATTCATCATCTTCGTCCTAAAAATGGTGTTAAACAATCCAGTGAGCCATTCCCTCCCTGCGCTCTTTCAAAATTCCACTGGAATTTCGTCTGGCCTGGTCGCTCTTTTCCCGCTCATCTTATGCATAGCTCCCTCGACCTCCTCAATTTTAATACGACTACAATAACCAAAATTTCGACTATTCTTGGAGTATTCCAAATCACCCAATACAATATCCGTATCCCCCTCTTCATTTAGGAGTTTATGGAAGTATATCTGCCATTTATGTCTAATATGTGTCTCTTTCGTCAATACTCCGCCTTCATCATCTTTGATGCACTTCACTTGGTCCAGGTCACGGGCCTCCCTTTCTCGCACCTTGGCTAGCTTGTACAACTTCTTGTCCCTGCATTTGTCTCTAAGTTCTTCGTACAAATGTCGAAATGCTACAGTTATACAGACGTTTGCTTTAATTATATATAATTTTGTTATTACAAAAAGGAGAATAGGGATTTCAATAGACTTGCCAATTTTGAATGAATAAATTAAACAAACAAAGAAAGACAAAGAAAAAATTACTTAATCAAAACGCAAAGTGGATGTGAGAATTAGACCCTTGACCTCACTTTTAGAGATGCACCCACTAACTATTGCACCATAAGACCTTTTAGGCCTCATTTATTTTTTTAAGATTATGAGGCGTGAATCTGAATGCATAGTTGAATATTAAGATGTGTGAAGATTAAAGCGTTTAAATCTGAATACACGTCTGAATATTAAGATGTGTATTAGTATCTAAAAAATAAATGATTAAGATTGTTTGTTTTTTCAACATCTGAATATTTAAAAGTTATCTTTATTTAAAATTAATAAATAAAAAATTCAAATAAAATACTAATTAATTTAATATTCTATTAACAAAATATTTTTTTTAAAAAATAATATGGTAGTTGGGGTGGTAATGGCTAACGATGGTGCTTGTGGATGCCGACTGGAGGTGGTGGCTGGTGGTGGTCTGGCTAGTAGTTAGTGGCAATTGGTTGTGGTAGATGTGGTTGAGGAATGTGGTGGTGGGTTGTGATAATTTATAATGGTGGATTGTGGCGACTATGGCTGATGATGGTGTTGGAGGTGGTTGGTGGTGGTAGTTGAGGTGGATGGATGAGTGGTTGTGATTGAGGATGATGGTGGTAGTGTTAGTTGATAATAATGAAAGTGGTGGATGGTGGTAGTCGATTATGGTGGGGTGGTAGATGATGGTAGTCAATAATGATGCTGTGACGGCTATGGTTGAGGATGGTGGTAGTCGCTGGTGGTGGTTAAGTATGGTGATGGTCGTTGGTGGTGGTTAAGTATGGTGATGGTCGTTGGTGGTGGTTGAGTGTGGTGGTTGTTGTTGGTGGTTGAGTATGATGGTGGGTAGTGCATGGTGGACTGGTGGTAGGTGATTACAGTGGCCGATGACTGCAGTTAATAGTGAATGTGGATGATAGCATCTTAATGAAATCATTCAGACCTATTCAGAACCTATTCAGACCCATTAAGTGGTTGTGAAATTAAAAAAACAAACACACTTAATGTATAAGACCTGAATAACTAACATTTAGACTTAAAAGACAAATGCAGTTAATATCCAAGATCTAAATAGTTAAGATTCAGACCTTCATTAAGTACAAACAAATGAGGCCTTAAGCTTGGGTGCACACACACTCACACACACATATATTATATATTTGATTAATTATGAAGAAACATACCATTCAAAATTTACCATTACTATACTCGATTTAGGGAGGGGAGCATGGGCTGCACGTGAACTCACTCCCTCCACTCAGATTTGCCCCGGTCATAACATTATTGTTTTATCAACTATTTACGCATGCTTTAAAGTTCTGTTTCTGGCGCATTATAAACTTATTGAGACCTGCAGTTTCTTAGATTGATTGTCTCCTCTCCCATTAGTTGACCTGCTGGCTCACTGCATTCCATGCTTAGTGAAATCNCTGGCTTACTGCATTCCATGCTTAGTGAAATCTATAAACTTTGAAGAAGTATTAAATGCAGATTTTACTTTTAAATGGTAAGATTAACTATTCAGAAATCTTAAATTTGCATAACTATTAGGATGTTTTTAGAACATTTCCACATTTATATGGGAGTATCATCTTTCCAAGATTACCAGGAAAAAGCTCTAGCCATATGGTGTGGAATGTTGATGCAACTCAACATTTAGGAGTTTGCAGTTACTTCCCTCCATTTGAGATGCTTCTGAGTTGTTTCTTGTACTGGTATTTCTAAAGGGTGAGATTGTCCAATTTGAATTGATGTTAGTTTGTTTCTCCTCAAATATATAGAGCCGCACACATGCAAGCAAAAACATGTGTATTGTTGAGGAAATGGCTGAGAATTCCTCCTTCTTCATCTACAGGGCTCTTCATTTTGTCTAGCTTTACTCTGGCTATCATACATTTGGCTTTTTTCGCTTTTAGCTTGGATAGTTGAGAGATTTACTTTCGCTTGGATGGTTGATACATATACCTCCGCCTTGTGGTTGTACTAAACTTTGATGTCTGCTTAGTATTTGAATCAAAGCTGATGAAACATTGTTATCTGCCAAAGGTGGTTCTATACAGCTTGTTCACGCTTGTTCCATCATTTCAAAGGAATGAATTCGTTCTTAAAATCTTTATATGATGATTGGACGGTTTTTAACTAGTCATCCATTTCATTCTTCTTTATATTTTATTTTTGTTTTTCCTGGAAGAGGTTTTGGTTTAGGTCCTCTGATGCCTGGTTATGGAACTTAAAAGTGGTAATAGAGAGCATTGCCCCTGCAGCCACCAAACAGAGAAAATTGCAGTGCTTCCTGTTTCCCCTAAAATTTAGATTGATATAATGCAGTTATATCTTTTATAGCTTCTTAGTAAGTATCAAAGCTGTTTTTAATGTTGATCATATTAAATCCTGCAAGTAGTTTTCAAGATGAAGTTTTACCGAGTAAGAGCCTTTTTGTAATTTGTGCAGGTCCTTTTTTGGAGCTGAGTCGACTTCACAGGTTTGCATATCTAAATGGCTCATTTACTATACTTTTTATTCTTCTCTAGTGTTATATGATGGTTATTTTGTATAAGCTTAATATCTCAATATGCATCATGACCAATGCAATTTATAATTCATTTAAGCACAACATTATATTCCATACTACTGATAAAAAACAGTATATTCCATACTGTCTGAGTTGAGACTTCAGTGCAATTTATTGTATGATTTCTACCTAAGCTAATTTTACCTTCCACTGTTGAAATTCCAGAAGCCATCTGCCGCCAATGTGGAGGTCTCCTTGGTCATGTTTAATGCACATGGTTCTTACAGTGGTTTGTATTTTCCTTGTTCTTAATCCCTAGATTTGTTTGCTGATTCAATTGCAAATTTAAGTACGAGGGCTTGTTGAGTCATGCACATAGAACAATATTCTAGCCCTATCTCAAATTTCAACCTGGGAAAACAAATGGAAGGAGCAAAGGAAAATAAAATTTTCAGTACCGATCTCCAATCGATTTTGTGGCATGTCCACATGAAATTGGCATCATTCCATGATTTTAGGACCTTTTTCGCATGATTCCTACAATCCCCTTGATGTGGAGAATTATTTAATAATGTGATTCTTACATGCCAATTCTACCTATGCAGCATACAGTTCCGTAAATTACATGCCAACTCTCTTGATCCATGATTTAATAATTATAGTTTCCGATTTTAGGAGTCTGTCTATGCTCATAGGATTGATATCCTCTTTGACGGTGGCTTACAGTCAATTTGGATTTTTTTAATAAAATATCCCAGCTCTTTGAAATTGATTTTTCCATTTATATTCTAGTGGATTTGATGGTCTGTTATAATTTCTGAAGTAGCAATATCCAATGTACTAGTAAATGTTGTGTGGTTGTTGGTTGTTGAAGCGTTTGTTAACCTATATTTTATACGAGATCCCCCCTCACTCTTGAAGTTGTATTTCAAGGCTGCCTCTGACTTCTCTTTGTTGTTAAAGACACAAGACACATGTTTTCTCTTTCTTTTTCTTTCTGCCTGACGTTTTTATTTCATTTTCTTCTTCCATTTTACTTCCTTTTATGCAGCTTGCCTGGTTCAGCGCAGTGGCTGGACAAGAGACATGGATATCTTTTTCCAGTGGCTTTCGGCTATACCTTTTTCAGGAGGTGGTTTCAGTGATGCTGCAGTTGCAGAAGGACTTGGTGAAGCATTGATGGTGCGTTTTACTGTTTAAGATGTTCTAAAGACAAGTTTGCACCTCTGTTGTTTGTCAAATTGTGATATTATAACTAATCGAAATGGGAATCACGCGTTATATGCATTAGACATAGAATAATACGTATAAATAACATTTTGGTGAATAACCCACCAATTCATGTAGATAGCTCAGGGAATTACGGTGAAACCCCATTTTGAAATAATAATGTAGGCAGAATGAAGTTACTCTTAAAAAAAATATAGGCAAAATCAAGCTATGATTCTCTGTGTAATGTGCAGCTCGTGATGTGTGGTTCGACACATATCATGGGTTCAAAAGCTGCCGCAGACAAAAGCCTGGTTTTTAAGAGGAGAAGGGTAGAGGCGGTACCATAATCCACCGAGTTTAGAACTGTGCGCCACTGCCCTATACTATTTCTCAATTATCAAACAAAATATATTGGCAAAATCAAGCTATGCTTCTACAAACAAAATACTAGGAAGAATTTAAAAAATCGCAAAACCTTTGAATTAACTAGATTATCCAAATTAACATCAATATCATCACTAACATGAACCAACCAACAACGTGACCCAAGAAATTTTCAAATCACACGAATTATACCTTTCATTCGAGAATTGTAGGATAAAGTTGGAATTGTAAGATGTCATTGAAATTCTTACATTGAATAGATAGGATATATTTTTTCCAGACTTCTTTATATTACAAGTGTGTTCCACCAACCCTATCATGTCTTTAAAGCTGCCCACCTCTATTCACATGTTCTCAACTTTGAAGTATGAGTTTCTTTTTTCTGAATCCCCACATTGCAAAAGTAGTGGAGTATGATTAGAGGAGATCCTCAGAAGTGTTGATTCTTTATGTATTTAAGCTCTTCATCTCACTCCATGGAGAGAAGGAGCCTGTCAATTCTAGATGTCTGTTCCTTCTTGTTCAAATAAAATTTCTTCCAAATAGGAGTCAATCAACCTCACTTCCTTCATGCAGTTCTTTTTTTTTTTCTAAAAGAAAAAGAAAGAACTGTACCTTGTCTCTGAATCTCTGGATCTTCTGCTACTCTTTCTTCTTTTCCCAGCACTATCTTGTTATGTTAAAGCGTGCCCATGACATAAACCTCTAGGCACTGCCATTTGGAACCATAAAACTACTCTGCCTCTTTCCGTATTGGTCTATGTATTCACGTCAGATTCCAAATTGGAAACTGCAGTAACATAGGAGCCCCTTGAACTTTACTGTGGCACTGCACTCCCCTTGTGGATTTGTTTCCTCGGTTCACATTCAGTTGTGCCAAAGGATCAGATTACCCCCCACCTCAACCCTCCCTTCAGCATCCAAAACAATGTGGCTGACCCATCTAGTGGCCCATTTCTTTGTTTGAACAGTGCTGGAGTAATGTTTTTTAGATTGGTCTCGTTCTCGTAGAAGCTATAAATATCAGCATTCTACTTGTGTACTTGAATCTTCAAAAACCTTCTTTCCTTCTACTGTTTAAGCTCCTTACATTCCAGCTGACTATTTTCAGTTTCTCTTATATCATTGTTTGACAGCTATCTTCTCCTAAACCTTTCACTCCCCTCCTTATAAATGATGTTGAACTCAAGAGTTCTGAATTCCCTTCTGGAGCTCCTGGGACATTCCATGCAGCTCGTTTGTCACCTTTCTTCCCTCCTTTTGTCATTGATGAAAATAACTTAATGCTTCCCCTTCACGGCCTTCAAAATCTATTCCCATTTGCTTACTCCTTTTTATAATGTTCCTTCAAACCCAGGCTGCTTCTTCCGTCTGATTCTGTTTGAATCCTTGCTCATCTTCATGCCATTCATTGAGGAGATTTTGTTGTCTATCTCTAGAGGTTGTGCTTTGAAGCTGAGGATTTCCTCCCCCTCTTCCGGTCTTGCTTTTATCAACTTCGGACTCAGTGGAGTCTCACGTCCCTCGTTGCTATGAAAATCAGAGTCAGCAGTGGTGGATGCAGTGTTGTGAAGAGCGTGAAGCGACAACCCCCTTTTCGCTTAAAGCGAGAAGCGAGAAGCGAAGCGCTCGCTTTTTTTGAAGCGAAGCGGAATTTAAAAAAATATTAAAATAAATACTGCATAGGCAACACATGTAACTGTAAGCAAATGTTCAATACTTCAATGTAAAAACTAAAGAGTAGATCTTCTTCTACAAGATAAGCATTCTATTCTTCTACAAGATTGTCAAATTCTTGTATTCCACTATCGTTATTATATTGCTCGTCAACTTCTTCTTCTTCAACTTCTTCTTCTTCATCAACTAGGGACAAAGTAGTTGCTTTTTTTCCCTTCCTCCGTGAACTTGAAGTTGATGTACTCCCCCTCAAACCATAAATCCTCTCCCCAATTCCACGCGCCTCCGCAACATCACCCCAAGTGAAGTCAGAAGTTTCCTCAAATACTTCTTCATCTGCATGATCTTCCGGGACTCCAGTTAGCCATTCATTAGCATCATCGATGTTGTCCAAACTAATTGGATCAATTACATTGCGAGCGTCGTAACGATGCCTCAATGTTCTATTGTACTTAATGAAGACTAGATCATTGAGACGCTTCAAGGTTAGTTTGTTCCTCTTTTTGGTATGAATCTGCAAATAATAAGTAATTAGTAAGATTAGGACAATTGAGATATAATTTAATTATCTCAATATACTAAATCTTTCTTCTTAGTTCTTACATGTTCAAACACGCTCCAATTCCTTTTACTCCCGGATGAGCTACATGTTAGACTTAGAACCTTGATGGCAAACTTTTGTAATTCTGGAGTGGAATGGCCATATTGCTTCCACCATTCAACTATAGAAGTAGAACAAATATTCAAAAACATAATATTGATAAAGAAATAACTTATTAACTATATAGCAACATATAAGCACTCGCTCACCTGGTGACTTCATCTTTCTTTGTCTAGTAGCCATATTTTTTCCAAAGAGTTGCTCAGCATTCCTATAAGTACTAAATTGCTCTATTATATTATCTTGCACGAATTCTTTAGGTATCAACTTCTCAATACATTCAATGTATCCATTCCACAATTCTTCATCTCCTAGAATCCTCTCTTCATTGTCATAAAACAATTCGGGGTTCAAAACAAGTCCAGCTGCATGCAAAGGGCGATGAATTTGACCGCTCCACCTTTTATCTATGATCTCAAAGACTCTTTTGTATTTTCTTTGATCACTAAAGAGTCTTGAATAGCCTCCTTTACCCTATCGATTGCTTCGTAAAGGTAGCCCATTGGTGGCCTTTGCTCCCCATCCACCAAACGAAGCACTTTAACTAAAGGACCACCAATCTTCAATGCATGAACCACATCGTTCCAGAATGAAGCAGAAAGTATAATATCTGCAGATTCTTTCCCTCGAGCTTTCCTTCCATAGGCACTGTTAGTATACTCATTTGAAACAAACAACTTCTTCAAATTGCTTTTTTGCTCATACATCCTATGCAAAGTCAAGAAAGCGGTAGCAAATCTTGTCTTTGCAGGTTTCACCAAGCTTCTTTGTTTAGTGAATCTCTTCATCATATTCAACAACAAAGGCCTTTGAACAATATAGGAATGCACTCTAATTACCTGATTAAAGACTGAACTGAAGGGTCTTTCCTTGTAAATGTCACTGAAGATCAAATTAATGCAATGTGCTGCACATAGAGTCCAATAAATATGGGGGTACCCTACCGACATCAAATCACCAGCTTTAACATTTTCATAGGCGTTGTCCGTGACAACTTGAACAACATTTTCTGCTCCAATTGAGTCTATTGTACTCTTGAACAAGGAGTACATTTTGATTGAATCAGTGGAAGAGTCGCTTGCATCAACGGACTCAAGAAACAAGCTTCCCTCAGGAGAATTGACCAAGATATTGATGATCATTTTTCCATTTCTTGCCGTCCACTTATCCATTATAATGGAACAACCAAACTAGTTCCACTCTACTTTGTGCTCCTCCCCAATTTTGTTACTCTTTCACCTCTTTTTTTAGATATGGACCTCTAACTTCATGATAAGTTGGAGGCTTCATTCTTGAACCATATTGGCATACGACGTTAATAAAAGCATAAAAAGTGTCGATATAATTAACACAATTAAAAGGAAAACTTGCATCATACATCCACCGTGCAAACATTGCAACTGCACAATCCCTAAAAATCACTTTGGCATCAATTTGAGGATTACCACTTTTCCCTCCCTTATTTTTGCGGGAAATACCAATCTATAGGACCTTTGGTCTTGCCAGTAGATCCACAACTAGAAGACAATGTTTGCTTCCTTCCCTGCTTTTGTGATTTTGATGGAAGCGACGAAGCATCGTCACATTCTTCTATTTCATCATTGTCATCATCAAGATTATGCAGTTCTTGTTCATGAAGCATTTAAGCCTTTTAACTCTTTTTTTTTTTGAAGGAATGCTTTCAATTCATCCTTCACATGTGACGGAACTTTAGGACAAGCCGCGACATTTGGATCACTACCGATTAGATGCGCTTTTTGATGATAGATTCCCCCATTTGAAACCTTGTCACTGAAAAGACATCTAATTGCCATCTTGTTGGTCTCGCTAACTCCTGCAGAATAAGCCCAAGCCGGATCTTTCCTATCTTCTTTTGGTGCCGTTAAAAGAACAACTACATAACACATAAGAAAGGCAATAAGAACTAAGAATAAAGGATATAAAAATAAGAGGAAGGACAGTATACCATTTTGTTAAAAACTGGGCAACATTTCAAATGAAAAAACAGTGAAAGAAGAACTAGGCAAGAACTGGGCAGCATTTCCACGAAGAGGAGAAGACTGAGAAAGAAAAACGGAAGGGAAAAAAAAATTCGCCAGCATTTCATTGCTATTTGTACGCTGAAACAATGAAAGAAAAAGAAAAAGAAAAAGAAGAAGAAGAAGGAGGAGGAGGAGGAAGAAGAAATCACATACCTGGACCAAACTTGATGAATTGAAGATGAAAAGTGTAGAAAACTTGGAACCCT